AAGCTGAGTTGAGTTCGCCTCAGCTGCTCACCAGGGAGTCTTTGGACAGCTGTCCGTGGTGCTGACTGATGAGGGCTGGATCAGCGGAGCTATGTGGACATCTAGTGGCTGCCTGGGGAACTTCTTTTCCTCTTCTTTTCTGAGCAGGGGAGCAAGGCCGTCCTCCCCTCCAACACTCACGCTACAGGGACAGCTAAGGTCACACCTCACACCCTCCTTTCCTCTCCCCATTCTTGTGGCCGGTCACTAATAATTACAGCACCATCGGCACCCTGCTCTGGGACATGGGAGACGGCAAGGAACGGGACAGAACTTCTGTCTCCCAGCTTAGTTTTCTAGTGGGAGATGGTAAAATACAAACGGCAGAAATGCCACGCTAGGGAGGAAAGAACCGTGAGAGAAACAAACTGAGGACGAGGAGGCAGGTGGGGCAGTGTGTAGAGAGGAGGATTGTGGGCACTGCGCCCCCTGCTGGGATGGGAGGGAAGCAACAGGTATGGGAAGGCCCAAGCAAGGAGGGCTTCCGCTAAGTTCAAGGCCCCCATGGAGGACATGGAATGGTTGGCAGTGGGGTGTGCGTGTGAAGAGTTTGGGTGTGACTAGAAATAGAAGTGTCTTTCTGCTTTATATTTTTTTCTTGCCACCCCCTGCACCCATGTGTGTGTAGACACACATACATACTCATATGTGTGAGTGTTTGTGTGTGCCAGGGGCATGCCTGTAGAGGTCAGAGGACAACATTAGGTGTTGGCTCTTACCTCTCACCTTGCTTGAGACAGTGTCTCTTGTTTGCCACTGGCCAGCGAGCTTCCAGTATTAGTCAGCTGCCGCCATGTCCCATCTTGCCACAGGAATGCTGAGTTCACAGACACACAGACCTGTGCCACTGTGTCTGGCTGGGCATCGCTGCTGGGGGTGCACACCATCTGAGCCACCTCCCTAGCCCGCGGAAATAAGTCTTTCAACTGTTGTCCAGACAACCTGCATCCTGAGAAGGCAGTGGCTTCACAGCCCAGAGGTGTGCCTCCCATCTCATCTCCAGCGGGCAAGCTACACAGGGAGAGGAAGCAAAGGCAGCCAGGCATTCCGGGTAGTCTCACCCATTGGGCTCTGTTTCTCCTTCATCATTTTTCCTCTCGCTGTGTAAGAGTCTCAGATTCCTTCTGAGCCAGCTGTTTCGATGGCATCCTGATTGAAGGTTAACTCGGAACAAGCAATCTATTAGCAGCGTGTATGTGCAGTTCCCTTCGACGGAATGAAGCCTGTTATGTTCGTCTGTAGTCTGTAGACTTGGTAACCTAGACTGTGGAATGTCCACTTCACATCGGTGTGTGATCTCTCTTCTTTTGCAGGGTTCAACTCCCTTGTTGGGGGAGTGATGGGCTTCTCCATCCTCCTGAGTGCCGAAGTGTTCAAACACAACGCGAAGGTCTGGTACCTGGATGGCAGCATCGGTGTCCTGATCGGCCTCACCATCTTTGCCTATGGGGTCAAGTACGGCTCTGTTTTTAATCTTTGATCACCCAGGGGGCGGGGGTGCTCTGAAAACCCTTCTTTCCCCACCCCTTTTCCAGGCAGGAGATGAAGGAAGGGTCTGATGTTTTATTCCTTTGTGCCTCGGGCACTTGAGTGCTGTGTTTGTTTTTCCTGGGGAAATGTGAGCAAACACCTCCCCACCCCAAATAGGGCATAGAGCTGGACCAAAGTGCTGGTCCCATCCATGTCTCATTTGGTGCAGGTTCTTGGCCTTTTTCACAGGAACATGGATGAGGAGCTACTTAGAGGCATGCAGGTTTGCTAGTTGACTTTCTAGTGCTGTGACCCACACTATGACCAAAAGCAGCTTGGGGAGGGAAGGGTTTATTTAATCTTGCACTTCTGCATCACAGCAATCAATGAGGGCGATCAGGACAGGGAATCAAAGCAGAAACCTGGAGGCAGGAGCTGAAGCAGAGGCCATGGAGGGGTCCTGCTTACTGGCTTTCTCCAACATGGCTTTCTCAGCTTGCTTTCTTATAGAACCTAAGACAACCTGCCCAGGATGGATGGCATGCCAACAAAGGGCCGGGCCATCCCATATTAATCATTAATCTAGGAAATTCCCCTACACACTTACCTACAGGCCAGCTTGAGGGAGGCATTTTCTTCATTCAGTCTCCCTCTTCATGGATGACCCCAAATCGTGTCAAATTAACCAACAAAACAAAACAGAACACAACTAACCAGCTCAGAGGGTGACCTTCAACCAGTGCCACCATTGGAACGCCTCACCCTAGTGAGCTCCTCATAACTGCATATATGCAATAGCCTGCACATCACCTTCCTATTCCATGTACTCCAGCATATCCCATGAGACCAGGGAAACAGCTGGGAGGAAGGTGTGGGACAGGCTAGTGTGAAGGTTAGGATCTCAGGTGAGAGTCTGATGCCCCATCCTGCCCCGTCCTTCTCTAAGGGAATGTCGAAGGCCAGCTCTTGGGGGTCACCTGTAGGTCACTGTCGCTGCCTTGAGTACAAAGGTGGGTGTCATGCTCAGAGGACAGTGCTGCACAGCACTGACCTTTCTCACGAGATTGGAAAAGGCCTCATGGGATGCAATCTTCATTGTTGGGCAGTCTTCTACAAGTGAAGCGGGAACCCTTGGACGAGACATTCATTTTTTTTCTTCCTTGATCTTTTATCTACTAAATGGCCCCTTTTCTTCCTCAATACTCTGGGTTCAGAATTATTTTTACTATTATTATTGCTGTTGTTTGTTTTTAAGACAAGATGCCAGGTAGTCCAGACTGTCTCAGAGTCACTATGTAGCCAAGAATGGCTCTGATCCTCTTGCCTTCATCTCCAGAACGCTATAATGAGGGTCTCCATGATGCCCAGGTGAAGGTCATCTGAGCATCCTTCCTGTCACCTGATGCCATGTGTACTGCTGGGAATCAGAGGAGGCCAGGCAGAGGCAGCCCTAGGCTTAGCAAGGCTTTACAAAAGGGACCACTCCTGGGGCTGGAGAGATGGTTCCATGGATAAAGATGTTTGTAGCCAAACCTGGTGATCTGGGTTCAATCCTCAGGACCCATATGATTTAAGGTAGGAGAGAACTGACCTCCACAGTTGCCCTGTGGTGTGTGTACAAATACACTCATGCATGTGCGCGCGCGCACACACACATACACACTAAAATGTAAAAAGAAAATTTAAATAGGCCTACTCCATGCAAAAGATCACCCTGAAGGGAGGCAAAGCCATCTTAGCATGCGGTCCACTTACTGAAAAAGTAGCCCAATGCCAATCCCTGAATATGGCCTGTAAGGCAGGTTTTGTCCTTAGAGAGAATCGTTCCTGTTGAGGTGTTGTATTTTTAAAAGTTAAGTGCTTCCACTAGGATACTGTCCATTTAAGGATCTGCCAAGATTTTTTCCAAAGCAGCACCACTCTGTGCATTCCCAGCAGCCATGTCTGAGGTGGTCCTTGCCAACACTTGTAACTATCTCTAGGCTTGAGGACTATTTATTCAGGCATCAAAGTGAATGAAGCATCCCTACACCTTCCATTGTGGATGAACTAACATGCCAAATAAACATGGTCACATTTAAAAGGCCATACACTTTTTATCTGCAACTTCCAGAATAGATCCACTTGTAGAGCCACAGAGTAGATCATTGGTTGTCTGGGAAGAGGTGGGGAAGACAAAGCAGGGGTGACCATCAGTGTGCACAGAGGATGATAAGAATGTTCTGGAATTAAGGCAGTGTGGATGAACACACAGCCTCACATATATGCAGGAAACCATTGAGTTGCATGCTTTGAAAGGGACAATGGTGGGGCATGGGGGCAGAATTAACCACGGCTAGACTTGGGGGTGGGGAAGCACAGCTACTTGAATTTGATCCCTGTGACCCACATCAAAAAAGAGAGCCAGCTGTGGTAGTGCATGCCTGTAATTCCAGACAGGAAGGCCATCGCCCAGCCACCCTGCCTAGCCTATTTGGTGTGTTCCAGGTAAAGAAGAGAGACCCTGCCGAGGAAAATCAAAGTGGACAAATGGACAAGGTTATCTGACTTCCACAGCCCCCCCCCTCCATGCATAAGCACACACCACCCATGCACCTGAACACCCAGGAAAGGACACAGATGCACACATACACAAATAACCGGTTTCCCAAGCTCTCCTGGTATCGAGGTGACCCTGCCTGTCTTCGTTTCTGCAGGCTTCTCATCGACATGGTGCCCAGAGTGAGACAGACGCGTCACTACGAAATGTTTGAGTGAAGGCGACTGAAGGGGCGGCAGGGACGGCCCTAGGGAAGAGCGTCACCATGGTGACGAGAGGTTTCCGCGAAGGCAGTTGGTGCCAATATTTAACTGCACATCCAGTTTCATTTGGGGAAGTTTTCGTTCATAGAGTCTGTCATCACGGGATGAGGTCGGCCTGGAGGCTGCACCTGTCCTACATCCTCACCCTGTTGCCCACTGTCAAACACATTAGGACGATGCTGACCATGGGAAGGGCTGCCACGCTCCCCAATCTCGAGCCGGAAGTGATGTTTTCTATTTCCTGGGGTCAAACAGTTCTTGAAAGCAGGCTTGGGTCTCTGCTTGATAGGAAGCCGCTTGTGGCGCTTACTGTCAGCCAAAACCAGATAGTAACTGACGGAGTCACCGCCTCCTGACACACGCGGCCAAGGCGCCTCCAGGGTCACACTCCTCTCTCCTTGCAGCCAATCCCTTCCTAACGTGAATCAACCCGTTTCATACACTTTTACTAATCTTGACACTAAGCAGATTTGTTCAGAGGGAGGCCATTCTGTTTTTTAAAGTGTTTAGTGGCATATGAGATAGCTTTGCATGGGCAGGCTACATAAGCACACAGCCCTTTCTTCCACATCCATGAAAACCCAGGAACCATTTTTGAGAGATGTGAAACTCTATACATTTATTTGTAATAAATAATTATAATCACTACCTGCATCTGCATGTCTCTGTATGTTATGCTGAGTGGTCGCAGTGCCTCACGATCTGTGAGAAATGGGTCACTCCTCCAGAAGGAACGAGACGCCCCAGCTTAGGGAATGTGAGGTGTAAGTGCTGCAGACATGTCCCCTGTGCCACCGTATTCTGTAGCTCGCACAGCACTGCCCAGCTGGGCAGCCATGTTGGGCCAATAGAAACCTTCACAATTTGTATGGTATGGGAAGGTTGTATGTGTGAGCTGTCAGTGTTTGTGCCAACATGTAGGCAGTAAACATTGTGAGCAGGCTCTCTCTCATGCTCTCTCTCTCATTCTCTGTGGTGTGTGTGCGTGTCTGTGTGCACACTCGCTGTAGTGTGTGTGTGTGTGCGGGTGCTCTCTTTCCTCTGTGTGTTCACATGTGCAGGGCAAGGTTGACTTTGGGTGTCTTCCTCCATCATTTCTTCATCTCTTTTTAAAAATTTCTTAATAGAGTTTTGGGAACAAATGCAAACACAAAGATACATTCATGCCACGGCATGCATGTGGTTAGACAACAGCTTTTATGAATCTCCTGTCATTTTGTGGGATCCTGGCATTGTTAGATCACCAGACCTCAGTGTAAGCTTCTACCTGCCCTCTGAAAACATCTTGCAAGCCCATCTTTATATATAAATAAATATTTCTTTGAGACAGTCTCTGTCTCTCTGTCTCTCTCTCTCTCTCCCCCAAATTCAGGACTTCCTGATTCAGCTAGAATGGCTAGTAGGTAAGTCCCAGGAATCTATCTTGCCTTCCCAGTTCTGGGGAATACAGGTGCATGCCACCATAGACGGCTTTTTGTGGGCGCTCTGGATCTGAAGTCAGGTCCGCACAGTAAGTGCCTTCCCCACTGAGACATTTTCCCATCTCCAGCAGGTAGATTTTTCTGTTGTGGGTGAAGGTGGACAAGGCAGGGAGGGGTTGCTGATGCCTGATGACAGTGACAGCAACACGTTGGCCTGTCTTGATGTGGGGTCTCCAGTTTCCAGAGGGGAGGCTAGCCTCACCCCAACGGACCACACAGTTACAGGGTCTGCTAGAGACCCCTGTAAGCAGACACTATCTGGGCAGGGGGATTGCAGGTCTCCAGACTTTGCCATAATTTCCACGTCTCATCTCAAGGGGCACTGCCAAAGGGAAGGCACAGCACAGACGAGACACCCGGAATCCCCAAATCTGAAATCCAGAATGCTCAAAAAATGTGCACCAACATGGTGGTACACATAGAAAATTCACGCTTGGCCTTGTGGGACCAGCTGCAGTGAAGACACAGGCAGGCCCATTAAGAGTCAGGTATGAAATGATCTTTATTTAGCCCATGGGTATGGGGGCCAGAGAAAATAGAAGTGAGTCTCCTGTTCAGTTTTAGATCTTATCCCAAAGCTAACTCAGGGTGACAAAGGCTCCCAAACCCAGAAAGTCCCAAGATAAGAAACACTGTTTACCGTGTGTGTGTGTGTGTGTGTCTTTCTCTATCACTCTTATTCCCCAGGAACCAGATCTCCCCCTGAATCTAGAGCTAAGTTGGTGTCCAGAAAGCCCCAGAGGTTCTCCTGGCTCGGCCTCCCCCAGTTCTAGGGTCACAGGCAGATGTGGTCATGCCCTGCTTGGATGTTGGAGATTTGAACACAGATCCTCATGGTTGCAAAGCAAGTGTTTCTACCTGCCGAGCCGTTTCCCAAGCTCTCTGAAACATTTCTGATCTAAGAACTTTGAATAAGTGACATGTAATTGTGGCCAGGAACCAGATGAGTTCCCCAGGGGTCCCCCACTTTGCTCGCTCCCCTATAGTGCGCAAGCATGCCCGGGGAATGAAGATTCCATAAATTTGCCTGCACCCTTCCTTGTAGTCAACAGACATGGAGTTTAGGGAGTTGAGCCTCACATGATGATGAATTCCACGGTGTCTTTTTATTGTGAGAATTACCCAGAAGGGCCCCTAATTTCAGTGCCGTGTCTTGAGAATCCCAATCCTCCTGCCTCTGCTTCCTGAGTGCTGGGATTGTGGGTGTGCACCACGTCCTGAGTGTTGGGATTGCGGGTGTGCACCACCAAGTCAGTTTGTATGGTGTTGGGACTCAAACCTGGGGCTTTATGTGTGTCTTAGCCAGCTGTCCGCTGACTGAGATTCCCCGGGCAACGCTCATGGCCCACAGATGCCCAGCTCCAGGCTGCTTCCTTTCTTTCAGGTGAATAGAGATGCTCTGTTTTTTTACCGCCCCACTTGGACCAAGTTTTAAATGCACCCTTCAGTATTTCTTCAGTATTTCTGAAGAAAAAAAAAATCTAGCAGTTCATTTTCCAATTCAGCTCCTTCAGTGAGAGCAGAAGACGGGAAGAATGCTTTCCGTTCGGTATTGTGGTGGAGATAAGGGAAGAGTACATAGTGGTGAAGCCTTTCCCCGATTCATGCCTACGTGCGTGTGCGTGCACGTGAACGCCAGACACCCATTTCATGTGCGGTATCACAGGATGCTGTCCATCTTGTTCTATGAGACAGAGTCTTTAACTGGCCTGGAACTTGCTGGTTTGGCTGGGCTGGCTGAGTAGCGAGCCCCAAGGATACACTTGTTTTCACATCTCCAGAACTGGGATTACAAGTGTGTAGCGCACTTGGCTTTTTACATGGCTTCTAGGGATCAAACTCCAGTCCTTGTGCATGCCCGGCAAGGGCTTTCCCACTCAGCCGTTTATTTCCGGCCCCAGGTCATAGATTTTCTATGCTCGCCAACCATGTTGTCTCTTCGAGAACTGGGGTTTCAAGCACGTGCCATCATGTCTGCCTTTTTAAAAAGTGGATTTTGAGGCTTGGAGCCAGGCTCTCACACGTGCACAGCAAGTGCCTTCTGAACCTAGCTATCTAACTCAGCTATCTAACTCCCCGGCTCCCATCTATCCGCTGCTTGACCTTAGACAGTGTGTTGGATCCAGGAGATGCAGCTTTAGTGCCCCGCCCCAATCACTACCACCTGTCACACAAGAAAAGTTTATTGAAAAATAAAGCTCTCCCTAGTTTTTCTACACCACAGGAAAATAAAGCAGTATTCCGTTTGCCCGGTGCAGCAAGCAGGGGGCAGCGACACCTCACTGACAGGAATAGGAAACAATGTACCGGGATCCATCTGAAGACACAGACTCAAATGGCCATGACAGCAACTACAGTGGAAGGGACGTCACCGTGTCCTTTGGCATTGTGGTTACGTTATTTTCTTTAATACTTGGACTGGGTTCACGGTGGGGAGAAAGATGTGTCCCATGTCTGCTGTGTTCCAGCGTCCATGGGCTGCTGTGCCCGCTGTGCACCCACCACAGCTGCATGTGTCCCGGCTGCAACCCACATCTGCATGTGTGTCCCTGCTGCGGGGGTCGGGTGGGGTGAAGGCAGCCTTGTGAGCCTCAAAACCAGGGGCAGAATGAAGCTCTGAAAAATAAAAATTCAATCATTTCATCCCTTAAACTGTAAAATCATTGACTGGCCGAGAAGAGCTGGAAAAGCACCCTGGATTCCAGGGAATTTTCCTCCCTCTTTTGTACCTGCAATCCACCCAGTGAAGAGGCTAAATCTGCAAAACATAAACAGCAAACTGGCATTCAAATCACCTCCGCGTCCAGTTGTGAAAGAAGTCAAAATCCCTGCCATGGGGCCACATGTGGAATTTTTTTTTTTTTAAAGTCATGGGATTACTCTTGGATAAGGGTGGGAACAAGGCAGAGGGAACCAACCTGCTGGAAGCCACCCTGTCCAGCAGGGGGCAGCAAAGGGCTTCCCGGGGACTGTAAATTCAGTTCATTCTTTCCCTTAAACAAATTGGTTCTATTATCACATTATAGAGGAATAAAAATTAAACTCTAATTCAAGAAGTGCAACTTGTGAGAGAACTTTTAATTTTGAGCTCAAAAAGGTCCCCAAAGAAACCCCTGGAATGTTCCAGAACATATTGGTGGATTCAACTTTCCTTAATAAATTCTTTCAGTCTTGTTTCACAGAGTGCTGAAGACTGACATGTTTCCCAATCAGCACATTCAAGAAAAACGGTATAATTCCAGTGAGCAGGGTAGGCACAGAGCTGAAACATTTGGAACAACAAATTCCTATACCATTGATCGACTCAACAAGACTCTTGTGTAATCATCATGTTTGAATCAACAGATAGGGGGTGAGCGCAGCTCTTTATTTCTCAAGTTTTATGATAAACTACTAATATCAATATTGAACATTAGCCAGGCTTTCTACGAGCCAGGCACTGTGCTATGGGATCCCCACAGAACCCTAAATGCTAGGAGAGCTAGAATAATTCTTATTTTCTGTATCCAAGACTATACAGCTAATTTGGTCTTTTGCTATATGTAAAAAACAAAATCCAAAAGAAAAAAAAAAACTTGACTTTGCACTTGCTGTCGAAGGCAACAAGAACGAAAGGAACTCCTCAGCTCCAAGCCACCGGCTTCCTGAATGACTATAAATCTATTTCTGCCACCCGTCTACTCTAACGAAGACATACCCTGAAGCCACACAGGGACAGATGGGATAAGAAGAAAGCCAATAGGGAAATGAAAATAGTTTTAAATAAATAAAAGAGTCCAGGCTTGGAATAATAACACATGTAACAGAGCCTGTCGTTAGCAAAATACTTGGCTTTTCTTTTTCAGTCAAGAAGTTTGGGAAAGGGTGGCGGTGCCTAATCACACACAATCTAGGTGAACCACCCTGGTCTGGTGCACAGCGCACACATTCACCTATAGACGACATACATAGGTGAACCACCCTGGTCTGGTGCACAGCGCACACATTCACCTATAGACGACATACATAGGTGAACCATTCTGGTCTGGTGCACAGCGCACACATTCACCTATAGACGACATACATAGGTGAACCACCCTGGTCTGGTGCACAGCGCACACATTCACCTATAGACGACATACATAGGTGAACCACTCTGGTCTGGTGCACAGCGCACACATTCACCTATAGACGACATACAATTTCAGTGCAACCCAACTCACTTCTCGGGCGCTACCGAGAGCGGTACTGCAGCAACAGCCACGTTCATTCACCAAGGAAGAGAAGAAAGAAAGTGGACACGGCTCACCTCCATTACGCTAAGTAGTTGAAGTGTTTGGGGGTTGATGACCTCAAGGCTAATCTCCTAATCTCCTGCCTCAGCAACATGTCAGCCAGGGCTGGGGTGACAGGAATGAGACCCTTCACTACCTTGGTCACTATGAGGGCCTGAGGATGCCGGCTAAAGGATTCTTGGGTCCCTCAGCCCTATTCTGGGTGTGTGTGTATACAGACACCTCACACTGGGAACACACATACACACACATACACACACTAAATGTTTCAGTCTTGTGAGCATACATACATTGGGAACATAAATAGCCATGTGCGTGCACATATACTGTGGACATATGTAGTTATCCCAGGCTGGAACAATCTGCTATCAGCCCTCAGCAGCACCAAGCCTTCAAATTCCAACCCCAAAGAGAAATGAAGACATGTCAGGAAGACATGAACCACCACCACACACCCACACACCACAAACAAACAAAACAAAAATCAAAAAAAAAAAAGGCAAATATTTCCAAACACTCACCAGGCACCTAAAACAAATGATCATCTCAGAAACAAAACAAAAGTCCAAAAGTGTCAGACAAAGCAAAAACTTCACAACATTTCCTTTTGGACAGGAAATCAGACCACACACAGAAATACCCGAGCTGCAGACTAGGGTCCAAGCACTGGCCCTCTCAGGAGTTCTTGCTCTGCCAAGGCCTTCACCCTCTGGAGAGAAGCATTCTCTCTCTTAGTGAGTTACATAAAGGTTTTCCCCTAGGTTAAGAGCCTAACATCACACAGGGGAAAGAACTCCAAAGGGTAAAGATCTGATGGCAGTGCCAGAAAACATAAGTCCTGAGTTCAGGTTTCTCCCCTGCGGAAGGTTCGATCACACACAGGCCGAGGTTTCTCCAGGATCATCAATGCTTTGTCAGTGCGGTGGGCTCCCGGCCAAGGTTGTGCGTTTCTTCTTTGCTGATGCCCCCCCCCCCGGGCGGGTGCGCGGGGGGGGGCGCGGGGGTATACCTTGCTAACTCTGGGCCCTGGGAGCTGATATATATTTAGGGGACACCCCACTTGTTGATAATGCCCTTCACAATTAGAGTGCATCTGGTTAGCCTCAAAAGCTGGAGCCCAGCAGGGAAAGTGAGGCTTGCTTCTGGCTAACAGTGGAAGAGGAATTTATTCCATGGGAGAAAGAATGTGACTTGGGTTCTGAGCTGGAGAGGAGGAATAGGAAGGTGGAGAGAGCCTGAGCTCAGAACCAGGCAGCTTCTGCAGGTGGGGGCAAGGCTGCCTCCCCCCTCCAAGCTCCTTTCCAGCTATCTACAGCACAGGGAGCAGTTCAACTTGGGGCACCCCCTGCTGGTTGAATGCCAGCACTGTCCCCCATAGCGTGGTGGACTCAGGTGGAGAGGCCTAGGAATTGCAGGTCTGGAAACAAGCAGATTCTCACACTCTGGTGTGCAGACATGAGGACTCTCAGGGAAAGTCCTTCTTCACAAGGAGACGGCCAGTTTTCTTCCATCCTGCAACGGGAAACCACTTTTGCAAGGCTTAATAGACAGGCTTCATAGCTAGGCTTTTAAACTTTTGCCTGCCTGGTGGCTGGACCTGGGCAGAGGTGATTCTAGCCAGGTCTTGGAGAACCCGGCAGTGCTTAGGATAGGATCCCCTGACACTCTTCCTCCCGACTCTACTCCTTTCTCTAGGACTGAAAGCTCAGCCCCTTGAGCTGCCTGGGGGTGTAGCTGGTGTGACACTTGCACCCAGGCATACATTAAGAGGCAGGCAGATCAGATTTCCCAGACCTCAAAGTCCTATGCCCCACCTCTCCACCCCTTGGTCAGGTCACCACAAAGCCGAATCCTCCTTCCTGTTGCTTCTGGACAGCTCTGCTAGTCCTGGGCCTTGCTCTGCTTCTCAGTTAGGCAGAGGCTCCACCTGGCCACTAGGAGGCACTGGGTAGCACCAGCCGGCCAGGAAGTCTACTCCAACAGCCAAGGACTGGGTGGACGATGCTAACAGCGAGAGGTAGAAGAGGGTTGGTTCATTCACCAGCATGGAGAGAAGTGGGAGAGGTGTCTCCAGAAACTCACAAGTGTACAGAGTACAGAAGCAACACTTCAGCAGGGAAGGGCACACACAAAAGGGCTCCAGGGTGTAAAGAGTGGGAATCCCAGCATGTATGACTAGGCCAGCCTGCTGACAGGCCCTCCACTGGGCTGCCCAAACTCCTTGGAATAGTGCTTCAAGTAAAACCCACCTCCAGTCTCCGGCCCTCTGTAAGCCATGCCCACTGGGGAGCAGCCAGGAAAACACCTAGCATTCATTCCAAACTGTCCTCACCTCCCCAGAAACCATCAAGGTCCTGGGAAAGCCCTCTTTCCTGGAATTTAGCAATAGCAGACATTGGTGGGGACACAGCACAAATCCCCCTCACGCTGCTAACTCTAGGACTGTCATTCTTACCCAAACCTAAGCTGTTCTAAGGCTAGAGACCTCCCCTCGCCACACACACACACACACACACACACACACACACACACACACACACAC